AAAAGGAAAATGACAAACGTTGGAGGGAATGTGGGAAAATTAAAACATTAATGCCCTATTGGTGAAGTTGTAAACTGATTTAATCATTCTGGAGAGTAATTTGGATCCACGCCCAAGTGGTTATAAAACTTAGGGTACTCTTTGACCTAGCTATACCATTACAAGGTCTATACCTCAAACAGATTTTTTTTTTAAAAAAAGGTAAAGGACTTATATGTACAAAAATATTTATAGCAGCTCTTTTTTGGTGGCAAAGAATTGGAAACTGAGGGGATGCCCATCAATTGGGGAATGGCTGAACAAGTTGTGGTATATGAATGTGATAAAATACTATTGTGTTATAAGAAATAATGAGCAGGATGCTCTCAGAAAAACCTGGAAAAAACTTATATGAACTGATGCAACATGAAGTGAGCAGAACCAGGAGAACATTATACACAGTAATAGCAATATTGTATGATGATGTACTATGAATAACTTGGCTATTCTCAGCAACAATGATCCAAGACAATTTTGAAGGACTTATATTGAAAGGTGCTGCCCATCTCCAGAGAAATAACTGGCAGAGCCTGAATGCAGATCAAAGATACTTTTTCTTTACTTTATTTGTTTTTGGAGGGGTTTTTTTTGTGTTTTCTTTCACAGCATGCTTTACATAAAAATGTGTTTTACACGTATACATTGCTTGCCTTCTCACTGTTTTTGTTGTTGTTTGTCCTTCATTCTCAAAGAGGACCATGACATAAGGAAGGAGATGTCATGACTTGCAAGTGAATTGGATTTAAGTGAGGGACCCAGAGCCATCTGGGTCCATTGGCAAGATATAAATCAGGACAACTGGAAATGCCACCCCCTTCTCAATGAGGGGTTTAGGAGAGGGAAGGAGAGAATTTTGAAAAAAAGAATGTTAAAATTGTTTTTTACATGTAATTGGGAAAAAAGTTTTTAAAAAGATTTGAATGAGGAAACATATGTAAAATGTTTTACAAACCTTAAACCACTATATAAAATGCTATTATACATCATACAAATTTTACTAAATAGTTGTGCTACCCATTTCATTTATAACCAAATGTGCCAGAAAAATGTTTTTACACTTTTAAAAATTGTGACCCATAAATAAATAAAATCTAAAAGGCAAATTAAAACAACGATCATGTCTGACAACATATGCTTTGTTCACCGTATCTCTACTAAGAGAGGCAATAATAATAATAGTAATAATAACAACAGTATTAACAATGGCTAACACTTATACAGCACTTTAATATTTGCTAAGCATTTTATAGACATTATCTCATTTTATCCTCACAATTGTATAAAGTAAGTGCTTTCATTATATTAATTTTAAAAATGAAGAAACTAAGGCTAATAGACATTAAGTGTCTTGCCAAAGGTCACACAGCTTTTAACTGCCTGAGGCAGAATTTGACCTTCTTGACTCCAAATCCAACTCCCTATCTAATATAGACTGAAGTGGTCTGCAATTAATCTAATTTCTAATGTCAATTGCTATTTTTGTGTTATTGTAGTTATTTTTCTTCGTCTCATGGGTTGAAAAAATGATAATAATGTAAAGAAAAAAATACTAAACTATCATTCAGAAGAGTAAGGGCTAACTGATAGACAGACTGTGTGCATCACTGGCATCCCCATAATGTCTGGGAATGCAAAGAAGGTACACTAAATATAGATATATACAAACACATAATATGTATATATACACATATATACATATTTATATATATGCATATATATTTATATACATATTTATATACTGTGATGATATAGAATGAGCAAGAGGCATGGATGTATTGTGACTTGCATTGTTGGAAGGATCACAGATACTTTGGAGTTTTGTGGTCTTTGTATGTTTTGTTCTTTTTTCTATTTAATCAGTTGTTATAAAGTATCCCAAATTTCTCAGAATTCGTCATAGTCTTTGTTACTTGTGGTATAATAATATTCCATTATACCTATAACAATTTGTTTGGCCATTCCACAGTCTATGGATATGCAGTTTGTTTTCAGTTTCTAGCTATCACAAAAAGTACTATAAATATTTTAGGTTCCGTTATCTGTGACTTCTTTTTCTACATGTACCTAGTAATGGGATTTTGGGACAAAGAGTATAAAGATTTAAGTCAGTTTTCAAACACAGTTTCAAATCCTTTTTCAAAATGGCAAGACTAACCAGTAGCGTATTAGTAGGTTTGTCTTTCCCTAACCTCATGACATAGCCCCTTAAATAATTGATTTTCTATTTTATCATCTTTGCCAGTGTTCTGGATGTAAGATAAAATTTCAGGATTGTTTTAATTTCTGTTTCTTTCATTATTGGTGATTTGGGTTATATTTCATATGGTTGTTGACAATTTACATTTCCTCTGAAAACTATTCACATCATTTTGCCAAAGGTTTGATGGGTAATGGTCTTATGTATTAGTATTGTCTCTATATATCTTGGATATCAGATTTTATCAGATTTTATGCAAAGATTTCTCCAAATTGACTATTTTTCCTTGTCCCTAGTTCCATTTTCCTGTTTGTCCTTCTAAGCATCAACACTTAACATAATTAACGTCATTGCTCTAAAATTGTATGTATTCATTAACAGTGGTATATATTTGTATGAGTTCAGATGCTTCAATATTTCAAAGATCTCTGTTTTTATCAATATGGGAACATCCTCCACTAGTGCATATCATAACTTCTCTATAAATCAGATCACTGTGGATATTTTGTGTGGCTGAAAAATGTATTGTCCTATAGCCAACTTGGTGATGAACTTCTCCAAACTTAGCTAGGAAGGACTTCAGAATGATAGATGTAAATTTCATCAATTGGGCCTATACTTCAGTCATTTTTAGCTTAGTAGATGCACTCTGTTGGTATCATTCTTAAACACCTAGAGTACTCTTAAAACCCCAATGAAACATTAAGAGTAGACCTGGAGAGTAATTAACATGTCTATTTTATGCGTGGTAATGGCCAGCCAAACATGGAAAATAGAGATGTCAATCATTTCTTATTTCTAATTTTTCTATATGTTTATGAAGCACTATGTGGTTTCAAAATCTGAAGTGCATTTCCAAAAGAGTTAAAGCTTTGCGTCGAGTTAAATCTTTTTAATATTTTAAACTTGAAAATAGCTTTTCTTTGAATTTATAATTAACATGTTAGGAAGCAACACCACTCGTTATTTTTGTGTTGGACTCTATAAGAAATCTAAGAGCTGGGGCAGCTAGGTGGCACAGTGGATAGAGCACTGTCTCTGACGTCAGGTGGATCTAAGTTCAAATCTGGCCTCAGACCAAACACTTGACACTTACTAGCTGTGTGACCCTGGGCAAGTCACTTAACCCCAATTGCTTAAAAAAACCAAACAAACCTTAAGAGCTCTCTGACCCCGGGGTTCTGATCTGGAGGACCCCAGACTGGACCCATGGACTCAGCTGAGGTGGAGTTCCTGGCCAAGGAGATAGTGTCACCATCATCCCAAATTTCAGTCCGGACAAGATCTACTTTATCAGGGGAGATCTGGGACCTTTTAATCCTGGTTTACTTGTAGAAGTACCTCTTTGGCTGTTAATGAACTTAAAACAGATATGTAAGTGTCAAGTGATTCCTTCTGAATAGATGGATGTTGAAAAATTGGAGGAGATATGAGATCAAGAGAGAAAAGAGGAAACATTTACCCCAAAGCCTGGTCCTTACTACATGGAACTTACCAAATTATTGTTAAATCATACTTCTGATAACATCCCCAAGGCAGATGAGATCTGGACCCTGATTAAGGATACTTGGGATACTCTTAATAGCTAAACTCCATGTATCTGCAGACAGTTTTATCAAACAGCAGGAAGTACATGCCAAACTGGATAACCTAAGCTTGATTGAGAAGAACACTACTGGAGCTTTCGTCACAGAAGCCCTAAATCATATGTACAAACCTCCATCCTGCAGAGAGTGCTCAGTCTCAAGACTTTTAGAGGAAAATGTTGTAGCAAGAGAGACCCCCTCCTAAGTTTTGTAAGACTGAGGGGAGGCAGTGAAAAGGAGGCTAGTTTGGTACCTTGCCCACTTTTCAGGAACAAACTTCCCGTAGTTGGGAAGTTCTCAGAATGTCAAAAGCACATGTAGATGACAAAGGGCAGTGTCACCCTTTCCTGACTTAATATTAATCATCAGGCCTCCCTCACTTTCAGAGGATGTCTTTGGGCCCATGTCTATTTTGAGTATCCCTGTTGCAAAACAATTTCTTCTCCCTGGCAGATTCCATCCACCTCCTCACCCTCACCCTGTCCTGCTGAGATAAATGGTGGTCTGGTATTTAGACATTGGTGGCTGAAGGTTTTTGAATTTACCCTTTCCTTACCAGCAGGATGTTGTTTCTCTTTTTCATGTATATTTTCATAAGATACCAGTGGCACAATAATGAGGATGTTATTTAGAATTTCATCTGCTTTGTTTCATTTTCTACTAGCCTAACTGGATTGTTACTGATGTTAATGTGTTGTGGTTTGCTTAGGCTCTTTCTGGTGAAACATGTAGACTGAATCAACCCCAGAAACGGTGGAGTGGTTTGGGGTTTTTTGCCCAGTATTACAGTAATAGTAAATAGTCACTTGGCTTTTGTGTCAACATGGCTGAATGAGCTAGACCAACCATTTCATTATTAAGTCATTTTGAAGTCTAAATTGAATTGCACGCAAAACAACACTTGGTCGGTTGTTTGCCAATAAACTTGTAAAGTCTTGAAAAAAAAGAAATCTAAGAGCTGTGTATCTGTACAGAAATGTGCACCCATTTTCCTTAAGATAAATTAGAGTAGATACAGAGGAATATAAACTTTTGCTGATAAAATGTATAAACCTCATTTTGTTATTTATTTTATGATTTAAATGAGATCAAGTCAAAAAACAATATTTACAGAAATATTTTTACTATACTTAGAAACTTAAACTGATCATTGCATTTCTTTTTTTTTTTTACTTCAGGTATCCTTTGTAAAATAATTACTATCCTCTTCAATACTTTTGCACTAATATTATACAGACCTCCTTCATCAGACGCAAGTGGATCATTGCATTCAACCAATCAAGAGGGTGAACAAGAAATGGATCTTGAAACCAAGACTTTTTAAAAAAAAACCTGAAGAGAACATTTGATAACTGACAGATTGATGTGTTATGGCTGCATGGTACAGTTGCAATTTTGGGCAATTATATAAAAATTTACATTATTATTTTTATATAATTTATTTCATATATTTATCAATTAAAGTTTTAGGTACGTGCAAATTTTGATTTTGGGTTCAAATGTAATAAAGTAGACTATGTGCCCAATAATGACCCCCCAAAACTATGAACAGTTCCAAAAAATAAACATACACATGTGCATTATGGTGAATAATGGTGAATAAAAGAAAAGCATACTCCTTTAATCGTAAGGGGGGAAAAAAACCCTATGTGAGCTAAATAGAGGAGGCAAAGACAACCCATTAATAATTACAATTTTGAGTACAAAGGACTATTAAAGTGCCATCAAAAAGTCTATTTCATTGTGCAAAATTTATGTTTACTTATCTTACTAACTATTCTATCTCTAATCCAATTCTGCATCCTCAGAATTTACATCAAATTTTTCCCCAAAAAATATTATTTAAAATAACACATGAATTTAACATATTATGCAATTTCTAATTAAAATAGCTTCAGTGTATGATTTCGTATTTTTTCTCCTTTTGCTCTGGACTTGGCCTACTTTCAGAGGCTTTCTGTGCATGGTTGGTTCCAACTTTCTTTTATCCTTTTAGTCATGGAATATAATATGAAAGAACCTTGACACTTTTGCCTTGACTTGAAGGTGGTTTTTTTTTTAGAATAATTTGTTGATATCCCTGATTTGTAATTCTTATTTTAGCATTGTCTTTTTAAAAAATTAATCAGTACATCATATTTAAACCCTCATGAGTGAAGTACACCTTTTCAGTGGATAAAAAATGTCTACACATTTTCCAAATGTGAAAAGGTTTCTCAATCTAAACCTTGTTACCAAAAAAGTGCTTTAAAACAATTTATGTGAGAAATAAAAAAGTTTATTCAATAGGGTACATAAATTAAAATCATATTTGGATCACCCCAGTTTTTCACTATTTAGAAATAACATCAGTCTTCTATAACCTAAAAAAGCCCTCCATGGTTCAATAAGGGAAACATGAAATCTTTCTGCTGGTGAACTGCTAGAGAATCTTTTTGTATAGCCTATTCAAGGTCATGGCTAAGGTGAAATAAGTATGAAGTTGGTGATAAATAAGTAAAATACTTCCTTTAGCTTAGGTCTTCTTTGACTTGAACCAGGCTAAGCTCAGAACAAACTGAAAAGCAGAGAATCTTGCTTCTTCCAAAATTCTGTATGATTCTTTTAGAAAATATAAATGAATCTTTAAAAATTCAGATAGTTAACAGTTGTATGGAATTTTTTATTACTGTGAAATATGAGAAAATAATACAATTCTGGATCTATTTAGAAAATGTTTTTTATAAAGAACACGTGTATTCATTTTCAGATAATTTGAATTACCAAGGTTATGTAATAAAATATATTGATTTGGAATTTTTAAATTTTCCAAAGACTGTAAAAGCTTGGCCTTGATCAATTTGAAATAAAATAAATGTTTAAAATTGATACTGGCTTTTTTTTTGTACTGATATCTGATTTTATTGTCTTAGGGAATTCCTAGTGAAGAAATTCTCGCTGCCCAGTGTGTACCAGCAAGTGTTCTTCAACTTATAGTCTCAGAAAGCATTTGACTTGCCCAGGATCATGTGGCTAACAGTCACTTGAATATAATTTTAGAAATAAAAATACATTTCAAAAGTGTAGTCTAATAGGATTCTATATTTGAGAGTCAGTTTAATTTTGCAGCTGTTTTCATATCTGAAATGTTACTTAGTCATTTCCTTTCCCCTCCCTTCTTCCAAACACTAGATCCAGCAGGTACACTGGATCACTGGAGTACACCATAGATCATAAGATCATAGAGAGAAGAGATGGAAAATACATTAGAAATTATCAAGCCTAACTGCTCATTTTGCAGAGGAGGATATTGAGTCCCAACAAGGTAAGGGATTTGCCCAACTTTACACAGGACGTATTTGGAAGAAGTGGGATTTAATCTATATCTTCTGATTCCAGAAGATCTCCCTGCTGCGCCATGCCATATTTTTGTAATCATGGATTATCAAACATAGCTTTGCGATACTAACACAAAGATTTCAGAAATAAATGAGAACAGACTGAAAATTCAGGCCAGTCATAAATCAACAATGGATTGAGATTTCTGGTAAGCAGCATAAACAAAATATATTTTCCCAGGAGAAAACACTTATTAAGTCTTATACTCACATTAGTCTGTAGAAGGATTGTGCCCTTTGTGGCCTCCATGATACTAAAATTTCAATTTAAGTCCAAACAAAATTTTTAGGTCCCCAGTATGTGTAAAGTCCTATGCCCAGGATACATCTGTTTTAAGGTAGCTAAGCAGTCACTATGCTCTTGAGTGCAGCTTATCCCAGTGCCAGGGTTGATAACTATGACTTGCCCTGTACCACCTTTAGTGTTCCTGGCCCACCAGCTAGGGCGTCTCCCTCCCTGGGAGATCCATGGTGGGAGAGAGGGGAAAGATGATATCAAACTTCTTGCCTTAAGATGCCTATGCTAATGGTTGTTATTCAGTCGTTTTTCAGGTTTATCTGACTCTGTGACCCCATCTGGGCTTTTCTTGCTAAAGACACTAGAGTGATATGCCATCTCCAGCTCAATTTGCAGATGAGGAAACTGAGGCAAACAGTTAAGTGACTTGCCTAGGGTCACACAGCTCACATGACCAGAATAGAACTCATGATGAATCTTCCTGACTTCAGGCCCAATGTTCTATCCACTCCACCATCTAGCTGCTAGCTCTGCTAAGCAGCTGCTCCCCTACTCTGTGAGGATTAGGTAAGGACTCCCGTACCTTCATCCAAAATCCCAGGGTTGCTGCCACTTTCAGGTAAATAAATACACATTCACCAGAATTATGTAAAGAAATTTTCATTTATACATCACTACAAAACAAGCTTCCTTCTAACAATACTATATCTAAGGAAATAAATCACAGGGCTAGCATAGCAGCACAGTATGGTAGTGATGAGAGACTTCAGTTATCCACGTATGTGCTGGAGCTTTCTTTTTCTTTGTCAAAAGCAGGATAACTAGTCATTTCTTCAGTGATAAATTCCTACTTCAAAAGATGAAAGAACCAACAATAAATTCTTTTCTGAATCATATTCTGTCCAAAAGACAGGAATGAACTGACTGCTGAGCTATAAATGATGGAAATCTGAGAGGAAAGGACCAGTCTTTTAGAGTTCATGATGAGGGAGAAGAAAGCTGGAAATAGTCTCATATGCTCCTAAATTGTTGCAGAGTAAGAATCAGGTGGACTAAAATTCTACAATGTTGTTTGTCCTTCATTTCTGAGGAAGACCAATGACATCATGGGTGATGACTTGTGCATGAACTGAATTTAAGTGAGGCAGAGGTACACAAAGTCATCAGCATCACTCTGAGTCATCAAAGTCCAGTGGCAAGAAAAAAGTCAGGATTACTAGTGGCCTGGGATGCAGTGAACACCTTGGTGTCTTCGATGTCTGACCAAGTGTGAAGTATTCCATACTGCTGCTCCAACTGCCTTCGTCGCTGCTGGGACAAATTGTTCACATCCACCTATTCTACTGGGGGAAGTCTTCTCATGCTTGGGATAGACCCCCCTCTAACTCATTGATGGACTTGAAGCTCATCAGTTACCCTCAATCTGGTTTACCCCATCTCCTAAGATGGTTTACTGGGGTATGTCTGCTGCACATGCTACAGCTTCTTGGAGTCATAGGCGAGAATTGGGTGGGTGCCAGAAGTGGGTGAGCAGTCCCAAAAAGGGCTCTCAGCAAGCCCTTGTCCCAAAAGTATTAGTCCTTCTGAACACCCCATACACCCCTGGGAGGGATAATAAACTTAAGAAGGAAATACTCAAGGTACAAAGAAAAACAATTCTGAAGAGTGGGAAATAAGACAATTATCTAGAAAGCTTGATGTGGATGTAGAGCTCACCAACCAACTTAGATTTTTAAAAGATGAACGTAAGATAGATCCAAGAGCAGGTAACAAAAATATGGCATGGTTATCTAAGGAAAGCATCTAGATTGCTAAAGTTCACCATGAATTGAGGCTAGCAAGGAAAGCTAACGACAAAAAAAGATTTGTTGTTTTTGCTTTGTTGTAGTTATATTGGGGCAAAAGGAAGATCCAAGAATTCCTGCTTAGGTTAAATGATAGAACAAAGAGACATCTTATTTTATTTCTGTTTTATCTGCCAAGAAAGAATGATCTTTGAAGTAGAAAGGACAAAGAGGGCTAATTGGAATACCAAAGATAAGTAAGAAATCACCTTGCTATACCTAGCTCACCTTAATAAGTTCAAGTCATCTAGCCCAAATTAATTCCATCATCAAGTACAGAAAGAACTGGTAGGTACAATAATTGGTCCATTGTCATTAATCTTTAAAAGACTAGGGAAATGAAAGAAATACTGCAGAACTGGAGAATGGCAAATGTCCTGATTTCCAGGAAAAAATGGAAGAGAATGTATATACAGACTCCATAGACCAACTTGGCTTGACTGCTTAAATTCTAGAATATATTATTAAAGGGAAGGTTTGTGAACATCAGACCACAGAAAACAAAATCACGGAAAATAAAAATAGGTTATATATCATATGTTCTTTTTTGACTGGATTACTAAACTCTTTGATCAGAAGAATGCTGTAGATAGTTTATCTAGATTTCAGTAAACAATTTGATTAAGTCTCTAACACCATTTGTATAGAAAATGTGGAACATGTGAGCGAGACAATACTTCAATTAGATAGATTCAAAACAGGTGAAATGGATAGATTAAAAAAGTTATTAATGGTGTTGTCAGTTTGGAAGGTGGTATCCAGTGAAGTGCTCCCACTCCCACAGTGAAGTGCTCTGTGCTTAAATTGATATTGTTTAACACTGTTTTGTCAATGACTTTATGGCAGTGACATAGATGCCACACTTTTTGATTTGCAGATACTATATATCTGGAAAGGATAGCTAACAAACTGAGTAACTATCATGATTCAGAAAGACCCCCTGGGGCACCTAAGTGGTGAAGCAGATAGAGCACTCATCCTGAAGTCAGGAGGACCTGCGTTCAAATCTGGCTTCCGACACATGACACTCGATAGCTGTGTGACTCTGGGCAAGTCACTTAACTCCAACTGCCTCACCAAAAAAAAAAAAAAGGAAAGACCCTGACAAGCAAAAACATTGTGCTAAACTGAAGAAAATGAAATTGAATAGGAAGAGTTGTAAAGTCTTAAATGTGCATTCAAAAAATCATTTTTCTGGGTACAAGATGGGGGAAGCATGGCCAGATGTAGCAGTTCATCTTTAAAAAAAAAAAAGATCTGGGAGTTCTAGAATACGAAATAGGGAGCATAAGCTTTCTTCTCAAACCCAGCTTAGCAAATGGTTGTTTCCAGAGGAAAGGAAAATACCTTCCTGAGATTGCTTTTAACTTGGGGCTTTTATTAATTTACATTTTAAAAATCAGATTTCAGATTCTTTTGCCAAGTTTATAATAGCCCTATACCAGTCCTCATGCTAATCAAACAATAAACATTTATTAAGCATCTCCTACTTTCTACCAGACTGTGTGCTAAGCACTAGGGATACAAAAAAGAAGCAAAAGACAGTCCCTGCCCTCCAGAAACTTAAAATCTAATTGGGGAGACAACATGCAAACAAATATATACAAAGCAAATTATATACAGGATAACTAGGAAATAATTGATAGAGAGAAGACACTAGAATTAAGAGGAGTTAGGGAAAGTTTCCAGTAAAAGATGGGATTTTCATTGGGAATTAAAGGAAGCCAAGGGAAGTTAGGCAGAGCAGAGGAGGGAGAGCATTCCAGGCAAAGGGAATAGCCAGTGAAAATACCCAAGCTGAGAGATGGAGTAGTACCTTTTTCATGAAACAGCCAGGAGACCAGAATCACTGGATCAAAGAGCAATTGTCAGGGAATAAGATGTAAGAAGACTGGAAAGGTAGGAGAGACAAGGTGATGAATGCCAAGCAGAGAATTTTGCATTTGATTCTGGAGGCAGTAGGGAGACATTGGAGTTTATTTTGTAGTGAGATGACATGATCAGATCTGCAATGCCCCAAATACTATGCATGGTCCTTAATCTATTCCCAAATGGCAAACTGGCCCTCTTCATCTGTCTGAAAGCAAGAGATTTGCCCCTGATAAACAACTACTTTTTCATCAAGCTCCTGACTCCTAGAGTCACTATCTCACCTTCCAAAAGCTATGCTATCTAGAAAGAGGGAGAACTTTCTAGTCCAGTGATTTCTCAGAAAGTCTCCAGGAAGACTTAACCCAACTACAGTTGAATACTTTTGGACAGTTCTATTTGATCTTCTCTAGACCTTCCTTATTCCAACTTCAGCACAGCATCCCCTGGGCATATGTCTTTGCCCCCTCACAGCCAAAAACATCCTAGGGAAATGACTCAAGTCTCCTTCATTTGGTAAGTTTATTTTGCCCTTAACATGGTTTGGCCAACTCCTTCCCTGAAAGAGCTTGAGAGAGCAATGGGTGGGATTGTTGGGAGTTCCTTTGCTTTGTAGTGTCAGGCTAGAGGTGCAATTACCTCTGCACAGCTCTGGTGGACATGTATTTGTTTGAAACAAAGGGAATGACCTGGCCAACTTATTGATAAACCTGAGTTCCTAGATAAAGTATAGGTCATGGGATGTGGAGCCTGAGGCCTTGAGGCCACATGTAGGTCCTTGGGTGCGGCCTTTTGACTGAGTCCAAGTTTTACAGAACAAATCCTTTTATTAAGAGGATTTGTTCTGTGAAGTTTGGATTCAGTTAAAGGGCCACATTTGAGGACCTAGAGGTTATATAAATACACATATTATGTATCATGCCTATTTAAATATATGTAAATATATGAATATAGGGCAAGCTAGTTTGGTGCAGTGTATACAACACCAGGCCTGGAGTCATTAAGAGCTGAGTTCAAATGTGGCCTCAGACACTTACTAGCTGTGCGATCCTGGGCAAGTCACTTAACCCTATTTGCTTCACCTTCCTCATCTGTAAAATGAGCTGGAGAAGGAAATGGCACACTACTCTAGTAGCTCTGCCAAGAAAACCTCCAATGGGGTCCCAAAGACTCAGACACAAAATGACTAATCAACAACATAATGTATGTATATACATATAAAGTTTAACAAGGTAGTAACAAAAGTATCGTGTCCCCCTTCTATGCTTTTATTTCTTTTGTGCATTTAGAACACTATTTTATTGATGTTTCACTTTACTGATGCTTTTTTATTGCTACTCCCTAATCCATCTCTTGATCAGCCCCCCCAAAATAACAAATGTAAAATAATAAACACAATAAACATGTACAGTATAAAAAAAAAGGTAAATCAAGACACGGATTATGTATGAGAATGTTCCGAGTCTCTACCTATAGTGTCACATAACCCAAGAGACAGGAGATAGGCTTTGTCAATTTTTTTTTCCGGCTAGGCAATGGGGTTAAGTGACTTGCCCATCTGAGGCCAAATTTGAACTCAGGTCCTCCTGTCTCTAAGGCCTGAGCTCTATCCACTGTGTCACCTAGCTGCCCCATCAATTTTCTATAGTCATGACTGATCACTGCTTCAGAGTTCACAGGTCTTTAAAAATCATTTCCCTTCAAACCATAATTGTGGTCACTGAGGAAATTTTTCTCCTCTTTTTGCTCACTTTAATCTGAATCCATTAACAGAAGGTTTTCTTTTCTTCATATTTCTCTGAATCTGTCCTAGTCATCATTTCTTATATTCCAATAAAATTCTATTACGTCCATATGCCTGCCACAACTTGTTTGGCCATTTCCCAATAGGCATCCATTTTGTTTTCAATTCTTTTTTTACCAAAAAAAAAAAAGTACTGCCCTTTATTTCCTATACATGAATCTTTTCCCTCTGTACTTGACCTCTTTGGAATCTATGATTAATACAGGTCAAAGTGTATGCACAGGTTAGGGACTTAATCAGGAATAAAAGCATTTTTTTCCCAGAATGGGTTCAATCAATTCACAGCTCCACAGCAGTGTATCTGTGTGCTTATCCTTCTTCCAAAAATTCTAATTTTTCTCTTTTGTCATTTTTGTCAATAAGTGTAAAGTGGAACATAATAGTTATTTCAATTTGTATTTCTCTTATTAGTGACTTTGGAAATCCTGTACTTATTTTGAATAGGATTTATTTTTCTAGAGCTTCCTGCTGACTTTTATCAGCATGTACAGAGCTGATGGTTTCTGTGAGATTATTTTACATCCTGATAATTTACTGAAACTATTGTTTCAATTAATTTGAATTGAATCTT